ATTCCCAGCTCAGTGAATCATGCAGGCTCCTATGCAAACCCTTCCAGGTCCATTGGGATGCTCCCAGCCGTTTGCTGGACCTGTCCTGCCCCGCTGGGGAGGACCCTGCTTCTGACTTCCAGTCTGGATTTATCCAGGGCCAATTCAACCCCATCTCCTGTGCCAGCACTGTCCTGCATAGCTTACATTAGCTCCTCTCCCTCCCCGATGTTTACCCCCTCGATGTATTTACACAGAGCAATCAGCTCAGCTCCCAGCCTGCCCTTCGCTAGACTAAACAAGCCCAGCTCTCCCTGCTTCCTCTCCCGCCACAGCCTCTCTCTTCCTCTCACCATCCCAGAGCCCTCTGCCCGCATCTCCCTGTCCTGCACCGGGCTCAGCTCCTGCCACTCCATCCCGCAGAGCTAATGAACAAGCTAACGGTGCTAATTGGAGCGGGTGGGTGGGCTGAACGGGAAATGCTCCCGTGATTGCAGCCACTCCCTCTGGCCTGCCTGCGCTTCGCTCTTTACCTGTATTCAAAGGGTATTAAAAGAAAATTAACAAGCCCTGACTACATAAAAGGAAGCTGCTGAATTTACAACCCAGCCTGCAGCTAGACCACCTTGCCTGCCGAGCAGGTTTGGACCAGGCCAAGTCTGCCATGGGAAACCCACTGACAGGGAGGCTGAGGGGTGTTGGGAGAGGGGGATCCAGCCCTGTTTGCACTGCAGCAACATCCCTGGAATGTGGGCACTGCCCTCCTGCAGTGGGACCCTGGGCTGGGGGCTGCCCTCCTGCACTCTACAGATCCCAGCACAACTGAAAATCCCGTGCCAGAGGCAGGATGGCACCTCTGGAGCCTGAGGCAAACGCAGCCTGGCTCCTTGTAATCTCATCTGCTGTTTTGTGGGAACTGCAGCACTTCAGCCCCCTGAGCTGTGGCTGGGAGACCGAGGCGGCTGCACCTCAACGGCAAACGCAGCGGTCGCGGGTGCCTGGACTCTCTCTCGGGGGAACCTCCCATCCAGCACCGCTCTGTGGTTCATCTTTGGCAGTTACACACCAAATTCATCTAAGGGACATCGCAAACGTAAATGAGAGGAGCAGAAAAGCAGTTTAAAGATAGACACAGAAGCCTGAAAGCAGGCAGGAAACCCATCTTGAGCGTGTTCCTTCCTTTGAGGCTGAAGCTGAATCCCACAATATGTTTTCTTCCCACTAATGCTTGCCTAGCTTCCTTTGGAAACAATTTAGTCTCTGCCCATGGTAGAATGTTTTTATCCATTAAGAAACGGATATTTTAAAGAAGCCATAAGTCAATCTGGACAGGGATTAGGAAGCAGCAATTCAGTGTATTTGCTGGGCCCATAATTCAGGACTTAACCTCAGAGCAGCCACGTTGCATTTCGGAAACAATAGGGCACTCGCTGCCTATGCCAAGAGGCTTCTTAAAAGTAATGTAATACTTTAAAACTGTATATTTAAAAAGAAAAAGAGAGAGAGATATTTTACTTTAAATGCATATGGTGAAGCATTCTGCTGATGACTGGCCCTAAGTAATGGGCTGGGAGCGAAGCTGGTTAAAGCTGAACAGTTTCCAGATCAGGAGAGCTGAAGCTCTCCACCAGCAAACACAATGTCTCCCCAGAACCACTGAGCAGACACCAAAGCTGGGAGAGGCAGGACGGAGCTTGCAAAAGGCTCCAGCGTTTACTGTTCTCTCTGTGAAGTCAAGGGAGTTTGGTTTCGCTGGAGCAAGGGGACGTTAAGTGCATTAATCCAAACAGCTCGCTCTGGTACCGAGTAGATCAAATTTAAAATCACTTTGCAATTGTCCTCGTGCGCGCAAGGCCCCTCCATGTCGCTGGACAATGCACACAATTGCTTTTGAGTGGTTGAAGATGTTTCCACCACAAAGCGAGAACACAGGCCCGGCTGCGTGGGCGGTCCTGCTCTGCTGCAGTGGGAATAAAATGGTTCAGCACGAACCGCTGCCGACACACGGGCAAGGGCGAAGAACTGGGGGCTTCTCCCTAGGATGACGTGTGTCTGTCACCATCCCACCTCCCCAGAGCAAGGGGGCCCCGAAAAGCAGCTGAAGGCAGAGAGGAGCAAGTTCCTTCGGCATCTTGCTTCGCTTTTGGGAGCTACTTGATTTTTTTTTTTTTGAGCTAGAAGGCGAAACTCAGAATAAAGAAAGCACGCAAGGCTCTGGCTTCGCGTGCCCCGTAATAAGGAACCATTTCAAGCCATCCTAATGACAGCGTGGTGTCTCGCTGAGGAGATGGCAGAGCTGGGATTTCAAAACCTCAGATTTTCCAGACCTCACTGGAGAAGCATTGGGCCAAATCCTCAACAGAGGCAAGTGGCCCTGCTTGGCTGAGGTCGGGGAAGCCGTGCTGGATGATGATGAGGGTCTGCCCAGCTACTGGGCCAGATTGTCAACACAGCTACACCGGGGTGAACCCAGAATTACCCTATTTACCCACCAAAGCAGCGCAAGTGGGAATGAAATCTGGTGTGTGGAGGGTTGCAAATGTCAGTCCCGTTGGGGATAGGCGTAGTAAGAGATGGATTCTCTGCTCATCTGAGCGGGGCAGGGCAAGGCTGAAGCCACTGAGATACCACTGAGATACCCTGATGCTGGGCATGGGGAACCAGCACGAGAGCAGGATGTGACCTGCTTGGCCACGGAGCTGGGCATGCTCTCCTCCCATGTTTCCTGGCATGTCCTTCAGAAACAATCAGTTTTCTCTTACCAGGAGGTTTTTGGTTTTGAGACCATTTAACCTCAGGACGATCATTTTACACAGGGACTATTTATAACCTCCAGGGGCTGCTTTGCTGAAAGCCTCTGCGGATGGCTGAGGGCCAGACTCTTCTCCCACTTTCACCAGCGTCCTTGCCGTGATCTCCACTGGCCACGGCCCTCCCTCATGAGGAGGAAAGATTGGACCAGGCCAGAGCAAACACACCTCCAAAGAACCCCAGTTCCTCCCAAAGATAAACACTGTCTCCTACGTGCCTTTCTGCCTCAAAAGCCCAGCTCCACGTGCTGTATTTCAGGGATTTGAGGTGCAGGAATCCCCCCTCAGCGGCCAAGGCTGTCTCTGAGCATCCCAGCTCCCCGCCTGGTTTTGCCAGAAGCGGATTAGGAAGCATTTGTGCAAACTGCTTGGTCAGCAGAACTGGGAGGCCAACCACCTCCAGCACACGAGCAGAGAGGGCTGCTGGGCACCCGTGGAGGGAAAACCTGCCCCTCTGGCCCCCTTTCAATCCCTGCATGGGCACGCTAAAAACATGAAGGTTGGGAAGCACCCACATAAAGGACATTGGGGGCCGGATGAACTCCAGCCTGTCCCTCCTAACCGGTATCTCCTTATGCTTTTCACTAATCGGCTTCTCATGTGTGTTACCCAAGAACGTGCCAAGTCGTGAGAATTACAGGCCTGTTAACTCCTGTGTTGTTCTTGGCACGGGACGGGCTCCACTTGCTCGGGTAAAAATTATGATCTTTGTGAATAAGCCATGTGTGTGTGAGAGAGAGAGAGAAAAAGAGGGGTTTTTTTTGTTTTTTTGGTTTTTTTTTTAAATTATGATTATGATTGGTTATAGCCAGCGTTGTGTCAAAAGGACAGGGCTGAGATTAAAATGACTGAGCTGATCCTGCTCCCAGCTACGCTGGTAAGAACCCACAGTCATTTTAAGACAGTTCCTCAACTTGGGAACAAGGGAGCCAAGAGCAGAGCGTGCACGAACCGCCTTTTGCAGCATTCCTGGTAGTTTGGATTCACTCCGCAGGAATGATTTTAGATGGCTAATTTTGTGTGTCTCCACTCCTGCTGTCACTTGACATTTGGGAATTTGGCACGGACAGCAGCTTGTGGCCAATTTCATTTTTTTTTCCTCCTTGGATTTGTGTCATCACCTGATCCCTTGCTCCAAACGACGCTCTTTGGGTTTCTGGCACTGCATGGGGCTGTGCTAATTTAAAATACAAATCTTTTCCTCTTACCCAAGAACCTCTTTCTTTATGACGCAGCCAACGGGATGAGCCTAGAAAACTCTCTCTTTCTCTCTCGTTTTTTTTTGAAACAAAAATCAAATGATAATCCTACCCAAAATGCCCATGTTCTTCTCATAAACCATGCTAATATCAGTGAAAATTCCAAGCATGGAGATTTGCATTTCAATGAGAAATAAATTAAATTTTCACTGCAATTTTGGGCTGGGAGGAGCGGGGCAGCTTTCGCAGTTCAGGTAACGTTTTCAAACATGTTTTTGAACCCGAGACACCCTCTTTGCCAATGACACTGAGGTTTTCAAACATCTAACGTCACTTCTGAAAATGCAACACAAAGGTTTTTGGACACTTTTTTAGGAAACCTTCCAAGAAGGGCCACTTTCTCATCAAAACTCACTATGCAGACAGTTTAAATACTATTCCTGAAATCCCTGTTGGTATCTCTGCTGATTTCCAAAGGAAAACACCACGGAGAGTAAAAATGCGCACGAGTGCGCCCAGGCAGGTGTGCATACGTGTGGGGAATTATGCTGGAGTTGGGCGATGGATCACCAGACTTGGCATAAACACAATGCAGCAAGATAAGAAACCATTTGGATTAGCATGTAAAGTACGAAACACCCTTTCTAGTTGATGCATAACCATAACGTGGGTGCCTTCATGTCAAAGAAGCTGCTGGGTTCAAAGTGTGCTGCTCTGATCTCCCTCACATTCCTGCTGCAGCTCCTCGGTTTTTCCTACGAGCCCTGACCTAATGGTGCAAAGAGTGATTTCATGGGTGCAAAATGACTTCCAAGGCCAAGAAATCCAAGCAAACCTCCCCCTGGCCTGTGTCCCTGCAGGGTCCCTTACCCAGGGGAGAGCTGGACTCCAGCCCTAAAATGCCATCCGAAGGGAATCTTGTTTGGCCAGGGAGGCTCCGCTCCCTGCCCAGCTGTGTTGGGAGTGTGAGGCTTTGGGGTGTAACACGGGGCTGGGGCACCCAGCCAGTTACCTTGGATCGGAGTCTGGGCCTGGGACCCGAAGTGGCTCGGGGTGCTGAGGGATCCGCGGGGGTTGGGTGTTGTCGGGGTGACTCTCATGGACTGGCGCAGCCGTTCCAGCTCCCCGTAGCGGTCGGTGAAGGGTTTGGCTTGGTCTTCCAGCTTTTGTCTGTGCCCTGGAACACGATAAAAGAGTCTGATATCTGATCAGTTCCCCTTTGGCTACGGCACCCTGGTTACACACAGAGTCAGCGCAGCCTCTGTCTCCGCGGTTTGCTGATGTTCACATGGGGGTAATGGGTGGTGGCCCCGGAAGAAATCAGCTGGAAAAACCCCATCTACTGGCAAAGTGGTGAATGGGGAACCAGCAAAGGAAACACTGAATTTAAAGTATTTTCTGCAGCATTTGCTCAGCGCACAAAGAACAAACTCTTGTCTACTCCCCCTCCCAGCTCTGCCCACCCAACGGGGTCGGGGCCAAGTGGAGCTGGAGAAGGCACAGGAGGAGGGATGGGAGAAGCCTTGGTACCACACCTTGGCCACCTCACTTTGCTTCTTTCTGTTCCTCTTTTCCTACCCGTAAAACGGGGAGACTAATCACCCACCTCCCCCAGGCAGGGCAGCAGCTAATGAGCGTTTGTAAAGCACTCCCAGCTCCTTAGGTAGCAGCTGCTGGCACAGGGCAATAATTATTAAATTTATGCTAATTGTCCCGAGGCAAGAGGCGCATGAAATACACTTGATACATAACTTTCGCATTTTACTATATTAATCATCGCCAAACGGCTTCACTCTCTCTGGGCCCGATTCCAGTCTCAGTTACACCCGCACAAAGCTGGAGGGGCTCCAGGGAAGCTGGAGCTGCCTCAGTTTTACATCAGTGCCGGGGTTCAGACCTTGGATTCTCCTTGGGCGCAGCCAGACGGCCGTGCAACACCCCCAGCTCTTTGCACCTGCCATGAAAGGACCTTCCCGAGGTGGCAGCCACCTCATCCGAGCGCAGGCCTCGGGGGCACTGGAGGTGTGCGGGCACGTCGGGGAGATGGGAGAGGAGCTGGGAGGAAACCTTCTGCAGTGCTTCAGAGAGCTGGGCCTTATCAGATCCTACGGCCCAGCATCCACCGAGTCAGGCTCAGTTCTTGGTGGCTTTTAAGAAGTGACGCGTTTAAAAGGCGATAAACGCAGCCACCTCTTGCTCGCACCCTCCTTCCCTCCCCCCTCAACATCTGCATGGCCTGAGCCCGGTGTCAGTTTGTAGCAAAGTCACAGAAAGTCCCCAGACTTCCCCCTCTTTTAATAACGCCTTGTGTCTCCTGAGCTCCAGAGGGGTTCTCACACTCCCTGCCATGGCATCACTCCCGACAGCAAACCACCCCTTGCCACAGTTTCTGAAGGACTCTGACCCTCCTCTGTGAGCTCCACATCCAGCTGAGCCCTTCCATCCCCTCCAAACTCCATAATCCCCAGGCTTCTGGGTGTGTAAAAGTCCAAACCGATGGAAAACGGGCTGACACCAGAGAGCAAAACTTATTGAGGACAAACCCCCATCAGAAAGCAAAACCCGGCGGTGTTTTGCAAATGTATTTTCCCTGCTGTGTGAAGTAAACCAAGGAAACCTCAAAGCAACACCGTAAATGATCTCTTCTAGTCTCTGTGTGTCCCCAGACCTCAGGCACCTCTGAATTATCCGAGGCCTTCAGAGCCATGAGCAGCATCTGTCACATGGCATTTGTGCTCTCCCCAGGGGAAAAGTGTGTGCAGTGAGGTGTCTTGTTTTGGTCCACACTTTATTACTTCAGTCTACATTTGAGCACAGAAGAAGAAAAATAGGGTTATGTTTCACCTTTAACCACTTTCCTTGGGCAGAGCGTGGCAGAGGAGCCAACAGGACTTCAGAGACCAAGTTCCCCAGAAATGTAATGGAAATCAAATTCCCTGCCTCCGTCTCGGCACAAACCCTGTCCTGCGGTGGTATCTGGCACGTGACGGAGAAAACCCTGAAAAATGCATCAAGTGATCTCCGTGCTGATAACATTTTTAAAGATTATTCAGCCTTACAACTTAACCGAGGGTTTCATGTGGCCGTGTCATCCTGCACTGGGGTTGCCCTGGTCCCCACACTGTCTGAACACAGACACAGCCCTGTGGGGGTTCTAGGCCTCGAGCAAACAGAGGTGCTGTACTTACACCCTCAAGAAGGGGCTGGTTTGTGGGGAGACCCAGCAGTTACCAGTGAAACCCCCAAAACCTTAAAAAAAGAAAGTGGAAAACCTGATGCAAGCGTAGGTCGAGGCAAACAGAGGATGCTGTGGTGGGATCAGGACCCTTCCCAGCTCTCCTAGGCCCTCTCTGATGTGTATCCCGCCCTGTCTCCACGTGTGGGATCTGGCAGCACCAAACCATACGAATCAAGGCAGCGAGTGAGTTAAAAACCACCGGCTTGGACTGCCAACCCTCTTTAGCTCAGCCTGTCTCCCCAGGACTTCCTGCCGCTTGTCACTTCAGAGCTGGGGACGTCAGACTTTGTCACGCAAGACAGGATCGCTATTAATGGGTTTCTTTCATCAGAACAACCTGAGCTTTTTAATTTCTGCAGCGGTTGGCTCCATTAAAAGCCCTTCCCCATCTACCCACAGCTGTCACGGAGAGGAAACCAGTGCCGTCAAGTGAACAATAGCTCATACCTTAGAGAAGAGGAAGGTGGTTTCTAGCTTAACCCAAGGACTGACTCAAAGCCTCCCGAAGCCAGTGGGCGGGTTTTCACTCCACTTCAAACAGCTCCAGACCTCATCCCAAGAAATCCGGCTGAGGAGTCTTAATCGCCCCGACCTGTGAAATTTGGGGCATGAAACCTGCCGTTTGGGGGCTGGAGGTTTCGCCCTGTGCTTCCAGCTGGGCTAGCACCGGCTTGCAGGTCAATATTTATGGAAACAACAGAGCTTAGAAGGATCAAATGATGGCAGCTACTGACCCCGGGCACTTCTTGTCAACAGCACGAGGGATTTAATGCTGGATCGGGTTTCTGAACGAGTTAACTCCGATATTGAACATGACATGATGTAAACATTGACAGATCACCTATGATCCTGATGTAATAACAAGATCTGTATCAGCATATCAAACAAACGATCCCATTGAACACTTCCCAGCTGGAAGAGCCGAGGTGAATTTGACACTTTAGGCCAGTAATAAGAAGCATACTGGAAGTTTTGGGTGTTTCCTTGGAATGCAGACAGCGAAACAGTGTGTGCCACACTGCAGCCCAGGCGCTCAAAGCTGTGATTTAAAGCCATGCTTTCTGCATTAAAACATTACAGAGACCAAACAGACCCTGCTCTTCCTTCTAGGAGTGTGCAACCTGATGTGGCTTCCCAAGCTGGGACCCGGATGGGGTTTCCAGGCAGTGGAGGGGGGAGTTCCACACTGTTCACCGAAAGCAGCTGATTTCCCCAGATTACTGAGATGCAGAATAGAAAGTTGATCAGAGGTAGAAAGGGGCTTCAGGAGCAGTGCCAAAATCTGAGAGACAGATTTGATTTGAAAAAACACTTTCCAGAGTGCCTGAGGGTCACAGTACTCTGATTTATCTATGGTTAGTTGTTCAGTCATGAGAGACAAGGAGCTGCCCACCCCTGGTGGGTTCAGATTTGGGTGTCACGTTTGTCCCCATCCCCTGGCATAGCCCTTTGCTACCAAAGGGTGGGAGAGCAGATGGTGGGAAGTGGCTTGGCCCTCCCCAGGAGCCTTGCTGCGAAATGCTGGCGGCAAGATGGAGCAAAGGAAACACAGAGCTTTTCAGCTCTGGGGGATGTTCATTAACACACACATTTGCAGATAATTTCCTTAGCTCCAGTGAGGAAGAGACAAGAACCAGGAGATGGTAACATGGGCTGGGACATCAGCTCGAGCCATCAGCAGCCACAGAGGCCCCCACTCATCCACCTCCAAAGCAAGGCTCCAAACATCCCACCAGCAAGATCCCACCATCCTCCACCCAAGGCCCTGCTCAAATATTCACAGTCAAATTCCTGGGCTCAGCCAAGCAGGAGCTCACCAGGAGCAGTCCCTGCACACAACCCCGTGGCTTAGTCTCTACATGTCCGTGAGAATGGACCACAAGAAAGCGATCAGCAGTGGATAAAACTCCGTCTCAATGTGCAAAACACCTTTCAAATCCCTCTTCTAGCCCTCAAAATAGGTACTTCAGAGAGACACGCCAATCCTCTACAGAGGGTTGAATTTTTTCCCAGTCTGAGTCTCGACTAGACTATCAAGTCCCAGCATGTGCTCCAGAAAGAAGCCACATGTGAAAAAAACGCCTGTGTTATGGGAACAGCAGGCCTGTCCCTTACAGCAGATGTCGGGCTGGTTTCATCTTCGCACACCTATAACGCGAGGCACGACCATCCCTCAGGTTTTCCCTGCAATCCCACCTCCGGCTCCGGACTCACCACGGGAAATTCCCAGCCCAGAAGAATTTGGTGGAGCCCCACGGCCAGCGGAGGAGGGAGGGGAGGACGGCGCAGAGAATGGAACTGGACAGGCACTCACGTGTGATGCCTCCACGCGGGATGACGGAGATGCCCACCCAGCTCCGGTGAGCCAGCGAGGACCAGCCCTACTCCAGCCCACTCCTAGAAGCCAAAGCCCAGGAGTTCACAGGAGGGAGCAGGGGGGAAAAACGTTAGAAGGAACCATCTCTTCTGGTGCCGAACAAAGTCCAGCACAGATAACTCATTATTCACATGTTTGAAGTTGGCCTGCTTACGCCATTTGGAAGGAGAATCAGTCACGGCCGGGCTTTGCTTTGGTTTCCTCTGGCTTTCGTGAGACACTGCAGCTACTGTCTTTCTCCAGCTTGGAGAGAAAGGGGAGTGTGTCGCAATGCGCCTCGGCTCGCATGTCCTGGCAGAGGATTTACACCGACTTGAACAACGAAAGGAAAATAATATTTAAGGGGGCGAGGGGGGGGGGGGGGAAGAGAGAATTAGGAAAAAAAAAAAAAAAAAGACTTCCTAATTTATAAAGCTTTTTTAGCTGGTGGTGGTCTGAGATGAATTGGCTGCTTCTAAAAGGATGAAAATAAATATCCCTCTTTTTGAAGGAAATAGGCTGGCTCCGGGCCAGCTGGCAGGAAGCGCAGAGATATGTTGCATTTACAGTAGGTTTTTTGGTG